AGCAGCTTTAAGACTTTTATAGCAATGACTAGAAGCGCCAATTTAAAATCTAAGCAGTGTAAAGACAACTCCAAATGAACAAGTTTGATAAATTATTTTAGGAAATTGCAAAAATTCAAATGTAGGAAATTCCTTGCTTTACAAAGTATTAATGAAAATTTCCTCACAGGAAATACATGACACATATTTGTTTTGCTTTGGTGGGGGAAGAGAAAGTAAATCCAGAACTAAAAATTTGAAGTTTTCTTTGTTTCCTCAGAAATAATCAATGATTCTACAGTAACAGAAACAGTTTGTTCTAACTTAAATAGGCAAAAACACAATTCCTCTCCAATTTCACCACTTTTTCCCTCTCTTTGTATAACTATCTTGGTGATGCAGTGTCTAGACTTCTTGGAACAAGTAATGGAGTCTGGAATTTATTCTGTGGGTTTGAAAATGGCTATTCAGGTCTCCTTCAAACTTCCATGTGAAAATATAGTGCTTTTAGAATATGTAAAAAACAGAAAAAAAAAAGAAAATGTCTCCATTAATGTCTAAACTTTGAGTTGCTACCAATGAAGAAATGTTGTATGGACTTATCCATTATATCCCTATCATCTCATTGGAATGTGGTTCCCATCCCCCATTGTATCAAAAAAAAAAAAAAAAAGCAAAATAATTTGTACTCATGAAAGAGTGGTAGCAGATATTTTCTAGCTTTTGAGACATACCAATAAAAGAAATTAGCCTAAAGGATATATGTCCACTCTTGTTATGGTTTTAATAAGTAATCCACAGGAATTTATCCAGTCAAAAGGGCAGACTTTTTATATCACAGGGCATTCTCATAGTCTTTTGTCATTTGGTAGCTGGATAAAATAAAAGAAGTCTCTGAGGCATCCAGATCTAAACAGTATTTGTGCAGCCTGGATTATTAAGTCTGACTGTAGTTGATCTGTGCTCTTAAGAAAATCAAACTGTGCTTGCCGAGAAAGTTCAGAGTTATTTGTCACCAATTACCTAAAGCTGAGAGTTGATCTTACACAAAGCTGTAGCCATTTCCTGTAAGAATTTGCTCCTAATTTTACAAAGCTTTCAATTCTTGAGGCTTCATCCTAGAAATATAGGTCTACTACTGAAGAGTTTTATTGCAAACGTTTATCCAGAAATAATAGTGTTATGGGGCATAAAACTCCATAGTATTGACTTGTTTGAAATAAGCCTATCCTTAATTTTCAAACAGTGTTCTCAAGGTCTGTCTATTATTATCTTTTCTGTGACCAAAAAAAATAAAAATTCAACCAGAAAGATTTTTTTTCCATTAAAGATACACACAACACGTTGAACTGAGCTGAAGTCATTTATTATACTATAAAATCTCTATTGGTTCTGTTCAGAGGAGCAACATTATCAAATGCTTTAAGTTAAATTATCAAATAAGTTAAGCATAGGGAGTCGCCCTCCTGGAAGGAAACTAGGTGCTCTGAGTATAAAGTAAAATAAATGTATGGAAATTAAATGTCAATAAAAATATTAACCAAAGGAATATCATTCCATGTTTCTTAATTGGATCTCCAGTTTCTAGATCCCATTAGCAACAACAACAACAAAACCAACTTGACCTCTATATTACATGGGAACAATCAAAAGGAAACTCTTAGGCCCTTATCTACTTAAATTCAAAGGTAAAGAAGTAAACATGTATGCTCAATCATGGGTCAGAAGAACTGAAGTCTCTTCCCATCACATGGGGTCTTGGCTTCTCAATCTAAGCTAAGACTATGGGTAAACCATCCCACCTAGCTCACGGCATTGTTCTAAAAAAAAGATGAGTATGAATTTGTGCCCTCAGTAGTTCAGTTCACAACTTCACTGAATACGATGGGAGTTGTGAAAATATACTAATTCAGTTCTATTGGACAAAACACAGATGAGGTTTTGAATTACTCTGAGTTATTTGAAGAAGCTTAGCTAAGAATCACATAAAATACTTTTCATTAACTATGCTGCCTGAGAATTCTAGCTTGACAAGAGTGAACCAGTGAGCTAGAGAACTAGTGAGCATTGCTCCGAATGACCAGGCCATGCCCCTACTTCGAGCTCACAGAAATGACTCCTGAGGGCTACAGACAGTGGAGCAGAGACAGATCAAAGTAGTCCTGTAGGTAAGTGCCAGTGATGTCCTATTTATATGCCAAGGATACACTCTCACTTATTAGGACCATTTGTAAAGCTTAGAACCACTAACTTTTGAATAGGAAATACCTAAATCAGTGAGGTATTCTTTTACTAGTATATTATAAATCTTAGAAAACTGTCACCAGAAGGTAGAACATGAGCCCCAATAAGATGAGCTCTGGGCTTACATAAATTCATAGTTGGCAAAAATATACTCTCCCTTGCTACAAATCTAAGACTTCTGAGATTCAATTAAAGAAGGATTTTTCCAAAGTATATTCCCTAGAGCACTAGTTCTGTTTTTTAATGTTTATTTATTTTTGAGAGAGAGAGAGAGAGAGAGAGAATGAGCAGGGGAGGGACAGAGAGAGAAGGAGACACAGAATCTGAAGCAGGCTCAAGGCTCTGTGCTGTCAGCACAGCACAGAGCCTGACATGGGGCTCGAACCCACAAACCATGAGATTGTGACCTGAGCCAAAGTCAGATGCTTAACTGACTGAGCCACCTAGGTGCCCCTTAGAGCACTAGTTCTAAGCAAAATTAGTAGGTGCTACCAGGAGGGAGGGAGGAGAGAAGGAAAGGGGGAAAGAAGGAAGATTGGTTTAATCAGCTTTAAATAGGCTGCTATAAAACTTGGTTTCACAGAGTTTTTATTCTATGGCAATATCATAAATGAAGACACAGTCTGCAGCATTGCCAAAGTGCACTGGAAAACAAAAAGCTGTTTTTTAGTCAAGCTAGCATTAAAAAATAAGATATTATAGATAATTCTCAAAGGACTTTAATGACCTGTATAATATAAGCAAACCATCTATCTGAAATGGCCAATGAACTGTTATTCCCAAATACATCCTAGAGCAGTTTTGTTGGCAAGGCAGATACCTTGCCAAGGCTCTAGATGTGGAATAATATTTGCTGAAATGTAACTCCAAGAATTCTATACTTGTTTGAAAAATTGATAACCATCGGCTACCTGAGCACTTATGTCTGCCTAAAGACACAAGGACAATGATGAGCAGAGTTGGCTCAAGTGTGTTTTACAGGTTATATAAACATAGTATGGAGGTGGTGAAATTAATATCCACAATGAGCTCAGAATTATTAACAACTAAGGAAAGGGCATGCGAGATTCGTAACAAGAAGGCTTTCTTCTTATATCTTTTTCTTCAGCCATTGAACAGTTATTTCTTCAGCATCAGGCACATCAGGCATGGTGTGGTTTGTTGGAAGATACTGACATATGAGAAGTTTGGCTCATCCCTTTAAGGAGATGACCATCTGGACAATTTCAGTAGAAAAGTAATGGATGCTTCGAGAACACAGAGGATAGGGCATAGAAATCTCTGGTGATTTTCAACTATAAAGCCAAATTAGTAATATCTCTAGGCCTTTCAATTAGTTGCTCTTGGTCTAAGTTACAAGGCTGTTTTGCATAGATAGGAATTGAACTTAGTTGTTTTAGTGTTATGCAGTTATCTGTTGCTACATATGGATTACAGACAACAGTTTGATTTGTTTGATTTAGGGTTGTTTCATTAAGGCTGTCTCTATTTTTAGCAAATAGATACAGTAGGATGGTTTTGAGTTTAGGATGGAGATACATTTATTCCAAAGTTGCTTAATTGCTATCATTTTCCATGAATATTAAACAACAACAACAACAACAACTGATGAGCTCATCTCCATTCAGATATTTCCCTTGATTCAGAACCATCATGTCACTTAGATACTGAAAGTACCAAGATACACACAAAACATAGTAATTTAGGTTTTGCATATTTATGCATAGCATTCATATTTGAACTCAGCAAATTTAGACTAAAGGATCAGAGGCTTGCAATTTTCCATAAAAAGTATTTCTCTAACCTTCATGAATGAATGGAGAAAATTTGTCGTCAGTAGATGATTCTGGCTCTGACGTTTTGTTTTGTGATGTTGGTCAAGTTTAGAAGCTCCATAACACAGTTGATTCCATAGAAAATTCTATTCTCAAAGAGAAGAATGTTGAATTTGCAAAAAAGATGTGTATTAGAAACACGACTATGGAATTTGTGCTTATGTTGGTGAGCAAGTTCTTTTCTCGGGGGGGCCCCCTTTCTGTAGTGCAAAAATGCAGGTTATTCCTAATGCATGTTTTACTGATGGTACAACTGGTGGAAAATGGTTTGACTGTTTCATTGTCCATCCAAGTGAGGAGCATTGGGATAATTCAAGGAGTTGAAAAGGAAATACTGATAGTGACACCAGAATGGAATGGGGGAAGGGCATAAAGAAGACTTTGTCAGGATCTGTAGTACTTTTTCTTTTGTACCTAAAAAAGTGATATGAAAATGGCAAAACGAGGACATGCGCCAAATCTGAATATTGCTACACACGTATTTCTTGCATTTTTCCTCTATTTTTTTCTTTCTCTTCTAGTTAGAAAAGAAATTGTTGCTAACAATATGATGATTCATTCATTCAACAAATGATTTGTTGAGAGCCTACTATGTGATAGGTGCTAGCTGTAAAATGAGAGGAAGAAAAAAACAGGCACCATCCCTACCCTTATGGAATGTGTGTTTGCGATGGGAAAATGAAATGTTGGGATCTAGTGTAGAATGTTTTAGAAGCCACAATGAGGGAAGGGGAGTGATACTGTGGAGGTGAGCTGTTGTTGGCACCGAGTCCGTAAGCAAAGGCTATTCTATGCTGATAAGAACTGCCTCATTCTGTATTAAAATAGATTTACTAGTGCACTGGCTGTGGGCCACACATCTAAAAAAGTTTCATGTAATATCGATTTTTCTCGCTGGTTGCAATCTCAAGTTCACCTGCATTTCTCTTTGATTCCCTCTAGTATATGACTGCTGCGGCTCCTATGCAAGGGACCTACATTCCCCAGTACACGCCTGTGCCTCCGACAGCTGTTTCTATTGAAGTAAGTCTGTCTCTGTCTTCTAGAAAGAGGTAGGGATGACAGATCTCAGCCACGTATACTGTGGTCGCCTATAACCCAAGCAGCCCTTGTGTGTGGTTTGGGGCTGCTCTAAAATTTGAAATTGCAAGCTCACTATATGAAAGTACTCGAACATGCCTACGTTTTGCTTTGGACACAAAATAAGCTGATTTGCTATATAGAGTTAAGAGAGGAGTATCATTTGTACATTTAAAGTTCAGAGACCAAATCACTGCCCTCCTCAGGCATTAACCACAGATACTCATAAATAGGGAAGGGAAACAAAAGTTTACAACTATTTCAGTGAGTTTGCTGGTGCCTTGTTACTCAAACAGTGGTCCCTGGATCATCTGCATCGGCATCACTGGGGAGCTCATTAGAAATGCAGAGCCTGGGACATCACCCAGATTTACTGAATCAGAATTTGCATTTTAACACGATCCCTTGGGAATCTACGTTCACATTAGTGCACTGGTTCTCAAACTTTTCTGCATATTATTTTCTGCAATTGTTTAGACAGCATTAAAATATATTTATGCCTGGGTCCTGTCCCCAGATTCTGATATATCTGTCTGGGGTATTGAACTGGATGTCAGGATTTTTCTTTAAATATCTGGTGATTCTAATATGTATCAAGGATTAACAACCGCCGCTTTAGTGAATGAACCTTGGCAGGTTTGTGGCTTCCTATAGATTTAAAAAAAAAAAAAAGTTGCAGCACTCTTACCTCTCTGCATACCTCAAATGTTAAAGGCATCTCGTCTTTGGGACATTGGACTCAAAGGAAGCTTTGTCCTTTTTCTGCTCTCTTTCCATTGGGCTGAATCCATTCCCTGTACACGTTATTTTACTCAACAGAGCCAGCAAGCAACATAGAAAGGTAGGGAGCATAGAGCTGTGTAGCTGGTGGCAAAACACTTAGACATGTATATTTCTCTTTAGTTCTAGCCATTATTGTCTCTTGCCCCTCGTCCCCATCTCCTGATGACATTTGCCATTATGGTCACAGTGCATTTCTTCCCATCATCTGGGACTCCTACTTCATGAATTAGCCAGGAACAAAGGTGTTGGCACCCCTCCATCAGCCATGACGTTTTCAACCTCTGGAGCTACAGAGATTAAGAAAAGCGTTGCGGAATTAATTGGATCTTACAAAATATTTGTTTGTTTTGGGGTGTGACAGATGTTTGCTAGTACCAAGGTTTGGGAGATACAGAAATTTAAGAGGACACCATCATGTAGTTTAGGAAACCAGGGAGGTCCAATTTTAAATCTTTTATTTGCTCTAGACCTGTGGGCCCCAAAGAATGTGTCAGTATTAAACAGGCTTTAACTGGCTTTTCAAAATTTTGAAAGAGTATATGATTAAAATACCTGTGGGGTTTTTGGGTTTTTTGTTTTTGTTTTTGTTTTTGCTCTATTTGACCATCAAAAAGCATCTAAATCATCAGTTAACGAATTGAGACATTTTAGGCACTTTCAGCATATTTGCATTTCTCTTTGTCAACACTGACATATCTTATCTACAGAATTTGAGCATTTTGATGACTAAAAATAATGGGGCATATCTGACAGTGTGACTTGTTGGAATGTGTGACAGTCTAATTATAGTTCAAGAGGAAGTCTATTGTTAAAAAGAAGTCTTTCGGGGCACCTGGCTGGCTCAGGAGATGGAGCATGTGACTCTTGATCTCAGGGTCATGAGCTCAAGCCCCACATGGACATAGAGATTACCAAAAAAATTAAAAAATAAAAAATGTAAGCCCTTCACTAAGAAAAATGCAGGTACATTGCTTTGAATTTGTGCTTATAAGTTAAAGTGCCTCTTTATTCTCTATCTAAAACACTGAAAATTCACGAACATCCACACAAATAAATACCGATGGGAGGTTCAGAAAAATGCATAATACCAAATAATATGTTAGGGAAAAAGAGATTGAGGTAATATAGGGAGAATTTTTGGCTTCAAAGGAACAATTTAAGGGACCTTTAGTGAGGGACAGAGAGTTAGCCAAGAATGTTTGAAAGCTGACATCACTGCAGGTAAAACCAAGATAATGTTTTCAGAGAGATGCCCCCCTTCTGCCTATGAAATATCAAATAAAACTGCCTGGGCCTCTCTCAGAATCGGACATCTATCTGATCCACTACTTATTGGCATCCTTGTTGGCATCCGTGACAAATGAGAGGGTGAGGGACGTAGCAAATCAAAATTAAGGATATTTTTGTGTTTGTTTTCTGAAACCTCAAAATGAATTCTAGATCATGTTGTAGAAAACAAAACAAAATAAATCAGGTTGCTGAAGGGAAAGCCTACTTAACAGTATTGTTTTAAAAGAATTCCAAGCTTTTATGTAGGTTTTTGTTTTTTGGTTTGTTGGTTGGTTTGCTTGTTTAGGTCAGAGTCCATTGTTTTGCCAGATCATAGAAACCTGACGCACTGCACCACCCCCAGGGAAATGCGTGAATACCTAAGTTTTTCTAGGAATCCTGCATGAATTTTTGATGAATAAATTATTATTTAGTGCAGGTATCTGCAACCAGGTTTAAAAGTTCTAAGTATGGGGGACCCTGGGTGGCTCAGTCTGTTAAGCATCGACTCTTGATTTCTGGTCAGGTCATAATCTCACAGGTTATTGAGTTTGAGCCTGGCACTGGGCTCCATGCCAGCAATGGGAAGTCTAGTTAGGATTCTCTCTCTCTGTCCCTCCCTCATTCTCTCTCTCTCTCTCTCTCTCTCTCTCTCACACACACACACACACACACACACACCTCAAAATAAATAAATAAAAACTTAAAAACCAACACTTCTAAGTCTGGTGAAGATGATTTTCTGAACACTCGACTGCTCTAGGGACTCTTGTAGGCAAGGCTTCTTGGTGACACACTGGAGTGAATTTCTCAGCGCTTATCCAAATGTGCTCTGTGGTTTTCCTTTGAGTACTTCTTGTGGCTTCTTTTGGCTGAGTGTAATTCCACTCAAGCCAAATAGAAGAGGGATGTTCCCTATAGTCCATCCGGAAGAAGGCCCTTTGCTAAAGCCAGTAAGGCTTTTATGTTCTTATTTGCCTCCTTAGGGTGTTGTTGCTGATACCTCTCCCCAGACAGTGGCACCTTCCTCCCAGGACACCAGTGGTCAGCAGCAACAGATAGCAGTGGACACATCCAACGAACATGCACCTGCATATTCTTACCAACAGTCTAAGTAAGTTCGGGCTATGCTAAGCCCTTTCCCTCAAGATTAACCATCTTGACACCATTTTCTCCTGTTGTATCTGTTAGCTATTGTGGAAATACAGATCATCCCAAACTTGGTGGCAAGCATGTATTTAGTTCATGGTTATGTGGGTTGGCAATTTGAGGTGACCTCAGGTGGATGCTTCTTCCGGTCTTGACAAGAATTACTCAAGCACCTGGGGACAGCTGATGGTCATGTTCATAGCTCTGCTTCTGAGGTTAGTTGTCTGTTTGGTTGAATAATGGAAGCAATTGCATCATGACTAGCACTTTTCAATCTGTTTGTGATGTATTTACTGCTGTCCCATAGGCCAAAGCAAGTCACATGGCCAAGCCCCGAGTTAATGTAGGAGTTCACCCCCAAGCCTTAAATACAGACAGGAGGATTTAAAAAAACAATCTACCACTACATATTTTGGAAAAACTCTAATATTCCCCCTTGAAACTAGATAGTGAGTCTGTATTCTTACATGAAGACAGTAACACTCCCTTTGCAGAGTTGCCTTGAACACCCAGCAAAGTACTTCATGAAAAGGGATACTGTAAAATATAAAACAACAGAGAGTCTTATTCAGGAATTAAGTGACAGGAATTAAGCAAAAATCATGTATCAGAATTACTCTTGCAAATCTTTAAATCTCTTGTAAAGTACAGTTGGCTTTGTGTTGAGTAATTATGTAAACTACAACTTGAGAGGTTTTGAAACCAAAGGAATTAACAAAAATTCAGTCTAGATATAGATGTCTGGCTGTGCAAACTATCCTAATTTGTAAGTAACAGTCAAAGCCCTGGTGGATAGAGAATCCCTAAAAACTCCTTCCTGTCTGCAGAATGTTGCTTGCATTTCTTCATCATTCCTCTTTAATCTCAATATGTAGACATGTGTTTGTTGTTGAAAGATTAATCATGGTAATGGAGTCTTCTATATCTAGTTTAGCTTCTAAAGGCTAAATGTGCTCATAATCTGACTTAACTTTTATTATAATTATTATTATCATTGTTATTATTACTATCACAAAACAAGTTTCAGGAAAGATCCATGAGAATAAAGCATTTTGTGGTTTTGTTCTTGTTTTTATTTCTAATTCACCTAAAGCCTACGTGAATCACTTTTACACACACCGAACAATATGGTGGCTTCTGGTACTCTGTTCCAAGCGTAGTGAAATATTTTCATTCTGTTCAGAGAATGAATGATCTCTGCTCTCACATATGTGAGAAAGGAGTGGAGAAAGGCTGTGTAGAAGCACAGTGAGAGACACTGGTAGGAAATGAGAGCTAATATATTTGCCAGAAATACTTGGTGAGTAGGTGAGGCTGGCTTTTGCTGTTTCAAAGCATACTGAGAAAACTAGTGATCCTGACTTTCTTGCTAACAATTTAGTGCTGTCTGAATAAATAAAAGAGATTCTTGGGGAGCCCGGGTGACTTAGCCGGTTAAGCATCTGACTCCAGCTCAGGTCATGATCTTATAGTTCGTGGGTCCGAGGCCCTGAGCTGTCAGCTCAGAGCCTGGAGCCTGCTTTGGATTCTGGGACTCCCTGTTTCTGCTCCCACTCATGCTCTGTCTCTCTCTTTCTCTCTCTCTCTCAAAAATAAATAATTACATTTTAATTTTAATTAACAAATACATAAAAGAATTTTTTTCATTCACCCAGTCAACACTTATTGAAACAGTACCTCCTATGTGACCCACAGAATTCCAGATGCCAGGGATTGAAAGTGGCAGGTGCCTTCCCTACTCTCTTGGAGTTTCCCTCCTGCTAGAAGTAGACTCACAGTCAGTGGACCAGTCAGCAAAGAATCAGAAACAGAATTACAAAGCAAATGTTTAAAAAAGATTGTTGTGATAGAACATGACAGGATAAATACCTAAGACTTGGTGTCAGGCAAGTCCTCTCACAGAGGCCTGGATCTGAAAGATAATTACAAGCTAATCTTGGAGATTAGAGACATGAAGAAGAAATTTTGCAGGCAGAAAACACAGGAAGTCCAAAGGTCTAGAGTGGAGACATGTGGCTGCAATGTGGTGAACTTGGGGGACTTGTAGGAGACAGAGTCAACAGGCAGTTTTATAGAGCCCTTATTCCTTGGATACTTGACTTTGTGTAAAAGAATCATTCTCGGACTTATTCGAAGAGAGCCACAAAAGCTTTGGAAGGCTTTTCACCTTCTAAATAATAACACCATTTAATATATGAGTCTGGAGGGATGTATTTCAAGGATGGCTTTCTGGATACAAATTTCCCCCTTCTTCCAACTGTCTGGACCATCCCCTTTCCCCTGCCTGCTCAGTCAGCTTCAGCTGCTCCCACTTGCAGCCCACAGTGGGATGTTCTCTTCTTTCTCAGGGTTGTCCTACCTTTCGTGACCATTGTGTGGTATAGTGGGGACCCAGGGAGAACATCTCGTGACTCACAGATGCCCGTGAGTCTCCCCACCCATCTCCACACTTGTAGGATCCAGCATCATGCCAGTTTCTAGGCTAGGAGATGGATCCCTGCCCTGCAGAGTTTACAATCCAGTATAGGATTCAGATGTACACCTAGACAGGATACGTAGGCTGCAAGGAAGAAAATGATCAGGGCACTATAGTGGGTGGCTCAGTCAATTAAGCATTTCGGCTCAGGTCATGATCTCATGGTTCATGAGTTCAAGCGCTGCCTCAGGATCCACCCCTGCCAGCGCAGAGCCTGCTTGGGATTCTCTCTCTTCCCCTCCCTCTGCCCCTCTCCTACTCACTTTCTCTGTCTCTCTCAAAAAATAAATAAATAGACTTTAAAAAAATAAAATATATAAAATAAGTACTCTAGTAATAGGAGAATGCATTTAATTTCTCTCAACTGGCTGAGCCTTGGTGGAGGTTGTGGCCACTGGAACGGTGTGTTCCACATGTAGTAACAGCCTGGCCAAAGTCCAGAGGAGGGAGAAATCAGAGTGCTTCTTTGAAAAGTGGATTCAGAATAGTACAGGAGTATGAAAAAGCAGATATGGACTGACGTGCTTTGACACCATGTCCTCTGTTCTACAAGTGCTCCTCCAGCGAAGATAGACAGTAGATTTGGAAGCAATGGACATAGTCCTGTTATGGTGATGGTTCAGACAAGATGGAACAAAGGTCTGAAATAAGAAGGTAGAAAGTGTAATGGGGTCAGGGGTGGGGGTAAGCTTGGGAAGGGGTAAAGGGAAAACAGGGTTTAACAATGCCACAGAAAACCAGGGAGTTATTGGTGCTGCTAACAGACGCAGATAAGATAAAAACCAAAGAAAGCCTGATTGTAAAGAAAGACACTGGATGTAATTATCATTACAATGAGTCAACTCAAACAAGCTTTCTTCCTTGAAAGGGTCGGAGGAAGTCTGAGGCTGACCAGGTGAAGGGTTCTGTTTAAACATTTATAAAACCACCCTACACTGCAGTTTTGTCCTTGAGCCATGGATTCTGATGACTGATAGTGGTGAGAGAATACGGATCAAGGAAAGAAAACCTCCACAGTGTTCTTAAAGCGGTAAACATCATGGGAAGGGAGTCCTCATTCGAAGGAATTTTCTTTTGCGCTTATGCAGGAATGTTAAGTTCCAGGACTTTCCACAGAGTGCGTTGTTGCAACATGCCAGAGATGAAAGCACACTGGAACGTGGAACATTTCAAAGGTGTGACACAGGGAAACTACTTGTGTTGCCTTGCGGACATTTCTTAAAATGTGGAGAAAAATTTTAACGGGTCCTGTTTACATTCTCAGCTTCCTGTCTCTGACGCGTTCCGTGCTCCGTAGTGCCAGGAACATTTTTGACTTGAAATAAAAACAATAAAATATTGTATGAAAACAAAAATAATATCCTGGGCCAAATAGATTGATGGATCACAGGCTCTTCTGAAATTTTATTTTATTTTTTAATGTTTTATTTATTTCTGAGAGAGAGAGAGAGACAGCATGAGCAATGGAGAGTCAGAGAGAGAGAGGGAGACACAGAATCTGAAACAGGCTCCAGGCCCTGAGCCGTCAGCATAGAGACTGACGCAGGGCTCGAACCCAGGAACCGCGAGATCGTGACCTGAGCCAAAGGCGGACGCTTAACCCACTGAACCACCCATGCATCCCTCTTCTGAAATTTTAAAAAAGGAAGCAATTACTGCAATTCTATCCAGTTGCAGCCGAGGGAAGCTGATCTGTGTTATGGTAAGATGTGGGATTCTGTAGAGCCATTCAAGGAAGACACTGGGAATGGAGCTGAGCATGTGGGTTATGGAAACAGCTGGGTTCTATTTCTTATATAAGCTTCCCTGGGAAAAGTTTGAGGGGTGCAAGATTACCCACAGAGACATTTATCAAGGAAGCACTCATAAGAAAGCAGGCACAACCAAGTTAATAGGGCTTGCTCTGTATACTTGATAAAGGCCCAGCTCTGTTCTTTTAAGTAATCTAAACATACTTAACATGAAAAATGCACTCAGATTAGATCTGATCATTTTCTAGAGGCAAGGCTACAGTCTAACTGTATCTTTCATCTAGAGTGAAGAGGATCTCTATTATACTTTAGCCAATCCAACTTTAGTTATCTTGAATACTCTGGATTTCACCAATGGAAGCTTATATCCAGCATTGTTATGCTACTTAATATGCCACTACCTTCTTCCAGCAACTCATTCCTAACAATCATGATGCTAATTGAGATGCGGACAGTTTAAGGTACTCATGGAAACAAACCTCTGGCCTTCCTCCTTAAATCACAGAAAACCTGCTGTAGGGGGTGACAATCCAAGGAGAGTTAGCCTAGTGTCCTTGAAAAGTAACTTAACCCACCTTCACGTCTAGACTAAAGGTTTTTTGAAAGTAAATTACAGACATCACAGCAGCAAGTTTGAGAAGTAGAATGACGTGCATATGAATAAAAAGGTTATATTTAGGATCTATGTCAATAAATATTTTAATATTCCAAATTCCACTTTCCAAGCTAAAAAACAATTCTCCACATGTTGTACTCATGCTTCCCCCACCCCTTGTTAAAAGAGGCCTACTAATGCAAAAGGGACTTTGGGCTCTTGTCTGCAAAGGCAGAATGATACCTGGGATTTCTTTTGGAAGTTCTGTGGAAATTCCGATTCCTGTCCAAGTTTTCATCAGGTTTTCTTTGTGCTATTTAAGAAATATTAAAAATGACTAGGGCTTGAAAAGTATGAGTCTTCAAGCAAAGTTACATTCTAATATATAAAGTCTTTGCCACCCATTGGTGGTCCCTCAACCCTTTGGAGCCTCCTTTTCCTCTTCTTTAGATCAGTATTCTCCAAAGGGTGTAAATTAGGTCTTTAATGCTAAGGTAGGCTTTACCACCATTCCTAGGAGTTGGGGGTGGGATGGCTCACAAGGAATGATGGGAAACACCCTCTATCCTAAGTGAAACGCTTTTTTAATTCCAGTTCTCTTCAAAGCCATTTAAATGCTAATGGACAGGACCTCCTAGCCAGCCAGATAAATCTAACTTCTCACTTTCTGTAACATTACGGAGGAGACTGCATTTCCTACTTGGGAATTCTGAGAGTTTTTTCCCACATTTTAAATTATTGAAGAACTAAAACAGAATGTTCATTGTCAACATGATGATTATTTCGATACTAATTTAAAAAAATTAGACTCTTTCAAAAACAAGTTTCTTTTGATATTGAATGCCCTTCTTTGTTGGTGCTTTACCCATAAGTTTAGTTTACCTCTGGGTAATCCAGTTAGTGGGAACATAATGTACAGTTTTCCCCAGACTCTGGACCACCACGGAGTCCTTCTTTTCACATGGCACCCATGAAAGTACTCGGTCAGGAATCACATTAGGGGACCTTGCGTGATAGGATGGGCTCTAAGACTTCTTCCATCTCTAAAATCTAGAATTCTATGAATATGGTTTGCTACTTCCTCTATTCACTCTGCTTTCTTTGGGGAAGGGGGTTTGGGGGGAGGGTGAGAAGTTTCAGAATGACTGCAATCTTAAATTCAGCCAAACTCTAGTCTTCCACCATTCACATTGACCTTAGAAGGCCCTCATCTCAACTTCGATATGGCCAGTTCTTTTTATTCTTCAAGTTGTCTCAGATTAACTGAACTGTCATGAACACCAGTTCCCTGTACATTGTCAGTATATTAATACGGTGCAAATTATGTCCTTGATTACCATTCTTACATGTGCTTTAAGCTCGTAAATAATAATATATTCTGGTGCTCAGTACTTTACAGTTTGTAAGTGTTTTTCCTACTCATTCTCATTTACATAAATCACTCTGTGTAAAGTGCAACTCATGTTATTTCTAAAAGAGCCTTGTTGCCCAATTTAAAATGTTATTGTTACTAATGTTCACAACCTTGGAAATTTAGAAGCCTTCTATTTTTGTGGGTATCAGTGCAATACATAAGCCTTATACCTCATCTAGGACAGAGAAGGTGACCAGGAGTGCATTCAGTTTTATTAAATAGTGAACACTTTTTCCCTTCAAACTTCAGCTAGAAACCACAAAAATGCAAAGGACAACCATTTATTTCTCCAAATTTGTTTTGGGATAACAATGAGACTACTTGATGGGAGGAGCTATTGAAAAGATTTGTGTAGGGGCGCCTGGGTAGCTCAGTCGGTTAAGTATCCGACTGCGGCTCAGGTCATGATCTCACTGTTCGTGGGTTTGAGCCCCGCATTGGGTTATGTTCTGACAGCTAGCTCAGAGTTTGTTTCAGATTCTGTATCTCCATCTCTCTCTGATCCTCCCCTGCTCACGCTGTCTCTCTCTCTCTCTCTGAAATAAATAAAAAACATTTAAAAAAAAAAAGAAAAGAAAAGATTTGTGCTAAGTTATAAAACTTGCAGTTAATTATGGCCTAGCTCATAAATATGGATGCTTCAAGGCCAGTGCTTATGACATACTTGAGCAGTGTGGTGTTCTGTGTCAATGTAGTCCATGGAGTATGACACCATTCATTGAGTAGATGTTACAGAGATTCACATGGTGTAGTAGGCATTTTCTGCTAAATGCATAACAATACTACAGTGGGAGGGGGGAGTCAAAGCAAAGGATTGACAAACAAACAAACCAAACACAACACTGACCCAAAAAAGTTCTGTTCCCACAAAAAGATAGATTTTTAGAAATAAATAAATTCTCTACTTTGCCAAGATACCAAGATCAAATATAAACCATGGCTCCCATGACTTCTAGGAATAAAGTTTCCCTTATTGTTACTGCTATTATGCAACTTCTAACTGCATTTCTTCTTCTTTTTTTAAGTTTTAATGTGTAAATATTTTTGAGAGACATGGAGACAGTATGAGCTGCAAAGGGGGAGGTAGAGAGGGAGGCACAGAACTCATAGCAGGCTCCAGGCTCAGAGCTGTCAGCAAAGAGCCCGACGCGGGATTCAAACCCACGAACCGTGAGATCATGATCTGAGCCGAAGTCGGATGCCCAACCAACTGAGCCACCTAGGCACCCCTGACTGCATTTCTTCTTAAAAGAAAACTCACTTTTTCACATAACACGTATTATTTTTCTAATAAATATATATTCCTAGAAACTCAAACTATTGGTTAAAACTGGAAGTATCAACTATCAAAGAGTTGCTTTTCATACATGATTCCAGGAAGAACTTAAGCTTCTAAGGGGCATAGCTGACTTGTATCAGTGCTCTTTGCCAGTTGGGAAAAAGAACCCCTCAGGACTATCTCCACCTAATCTTCATATAGCTCAAGACATCCTTAAGGGCATTTTGTGAATCTGAATACAGCCAACTGGCTCAGAGCAAATGCTGCCCTGCACCAGACTACATAGCTTGGGGAATAGACCTGGGTTGAAATTTAGCTCCTCCCCCACCCCCCCGGCCCCAGACATACATCTTGTAGAGTGAACAACCTGTAAAACCTAGCAACCCTGAATTTTCTTACTAAATTAAACAACTGGGATCAGAAGAATCTGCAAAGCACTGAGAGAAGCGGACTTCGTCTACATAAAAACTAAAACTATGCTATAAAAAAACATTTTTTATAGCATGCCCCTGAAATGATTTATTTATTTATTTATTTATTTTTTATTTATTTCTAGGAGAGAGAGAGAGAGACAGCGTGAGCAGGGGAGGGTCAGAGAGAGAGGGAGTCACAGACTGAAACAGGCTCCAGGCTCTGAGCTGGCAGTCAGCACAGAGCCCGATGCGGGGCTCGAACCCACGAACCGCGAGATCATGACCTAAGCGAAAGTCGGACGCTTAACCGACTAAGCCACCCAGGCGCCCCGCCCCTGAAATGATTTAACAAAATTCTAATCTGTGGATGGAAGAGCTAAGTGTAAAGGTCAACCCACTAGAAGATCAGACCTGCAATGTAGGTGGGGTTGAGGCAGAGGTAATTATTTGGGCTGGGCTAGGCAAACTGGCATATAGTAAAAATGGCATTTCTCTCTCGTTCACCACCTATTAAGTGCATACTATCTGTCAGATTCTTGGACAGTAAAAATTCCAGTAGAATATAGACAGTAGAAAAAGACAGTAGAATATAATCCCTGTTTTCAAGAATTAAACACCTTTTTTTAAAACTTTATTTGTTTTATAGAGAGAGGATGCTGGGGACGGGAGGTGCAGAGAAAGAGGGGGCCAGAGGATCAAAACGGGCTCTGTGCTGACAGCAGAGAGCCCGATGTGGGAATGCAAGTCTCGAGCTCACAAACTCTGAGATCATGACTTGAGCCAGAGTTGAGCACTTAACCTACTGAGCCACCCAAGTGCCCCCTCAAGAGGCGCTTGATGAGTTGGATGAACAAGGAAGAAGAGCAGAAGAGGGAAAGTGGGCAAAATCCATTACCTCCTCACTCTCCTATTTATTGGGCCAACAAGGCTATGTGACTATAGTTGGTGAATCCCACAGGACAACACACAACCCGTTGCAATATCTTGGGTACATAGTAGGGACTCACATATTTGTTGACTGAATTGGTGATGAATCCAATGAGAGTTTTAACTGAATCTGTGATGAATCCAATGAGAGTTTTTTTTAAACATTTATTTATTTTTTGAGAGACAGAGGCATGAGCGGGAAAGGGGCAGAGAGAGAGGGAGTCACAGATTCTGAAGCAGGCTCCAGGCTCCTAGCTGTCAGCACAGAGCCTGACACAGGGCTTGAACTCAGTAGCAGAGCCATGAGATCATGACCTTAGCCAAAGTCAGGCACTTAACTGACTGAGCCCCCCAGGTACCCCCCAGTGAGAGTTTTAAAAGGACAGAATTACTTAAAGAATTTCTGGGGACCCTACATAAGCCAGACATAGGTTCTTGTGCACGTGGGGAGTATTGTTTATCTGGGTATATTTGTAACACTTCCTACTTTAAATTGAAAGAGATTCTTGATATTTAATGTGAACAGACTCTCTGGCTTAAATACATATTTGTATGACAGTGGCAGGATTTAAAACTTGTACAATTTTCTGGATATTGAAAGTGCTTGGTATCTTTTAAGGAGATCTCACTGGAACAGAGCACACAAGGTGATTTCAAAGATGCTTTGATGTAATGACCACTCAATTGTTTCCACAGACCATAAACAAGACTGAAGAATGTTTGTCTGAAACTTTGCCTTGAATGAAGAAACTTCGTTGAACAGGAAGTTGGCTTCCAGTTTGCACAGGCGTCGATGGAATGCTTTTTTTTTTTTTTAATTTTCTACTTTACCCAGTGAAAACAAAGTGTTTTTATGTGCTGTGCAAATGGTTCCTTCATGTGGTCTGACAGTTTATTTTTGCCATTTTTTAATTAAGGGAAAAACTCCCAGAAGAGGAAACAAACAAAAACCAACAGCAAAACAAAACATGGAAGGTTGACATTTTATCTGGAAGAACATTTGAATTCAGAATTTACCAGAAGATGTAGATAGATTTTTTTTTTAACAGAAAATCAGATGTCAAGAGGTGGGCAAAGCAAAAATGGAAACAAATGGTCTTCCTCAGTAATTAAGCTACTCTTTCTTGTCCCCTTTGTGTTTAAATCTAGTGGGTTGGCTTTTTATTTTATTTTTTTTCTTAGAAATATTTAGGTAAGATTTATCTTGAATCTTAATTGCCTTAATTTTAAGGACGTCAAGGCTCTCGAGGCAAGCTGTCAACGTCTTGTTAAAAAAAAATTCAAGAAAGAATTGAAATATTGTGCCGGCTTTAACTGGTACAGAAGTTTAAGACTATGAGTTTTTAGGGTGAAAAAAACTGTACAGTTTAAAAGAAAATGTTTTTTCTTCATTTGAAGAAAATTTGTTGATAAAAGAAATCATGGCAACTGCAAGAATTGGGAAAATGCTGGGACTTCTCATGAACTTTGTCTTAAGTGTTGAATCATTCTAGAAGGCTAAAACATTTTACGGTAAAGTTATTAATGTTGGTTTAAAAACAACTGCATTAGAAATAATGCGTGTTTGGGGGGCAGAATGCAGATTTTTTTTATTTACAAAGCGTGATCGCTAGCAAAAGCATTAGTGCTTTTTATCTGCAGTCTTTTTTATGAGCTTTACAAAGTTTTTAGTCAGCTTTGCTTGTCACATTGCAAAACCTAGCTTAAGAGCATTAAAAAAAAAACTTAAGTAGATAGGAGCTTATGGTCAAAAAGTGCAAAAAAAACACACACAAAAAAAAAACAAAAAAAGCAATAGATAGAGAAATTGTTGACAATTTCTGTAGTCTTTCCTAGTTGTGATCAAATTCAGCCTATGGATGGCCTATTTTATACCAAAGATGAAGTGGCACCCTATTGCAGTCCAGAAGATAGAGGTTGTTTTCCTTTTCTTCTCTTTTCTTTTTAAAATTTTATTTGACCTACATGGCCGGACCAGTTCTTACTTTGTTGTTTGTTTAAACTACCTTCCACTGGTGTTTTACATACTGCAAAACAAAACAAAAAGCGGTTTATTTTGTTTGTTTTTCTTTACTTTAATTTTTTTTTTGATATACATTTGTTGATAATATGCAGACGCTTGCACCTGCTGTGTTCAGCAGTTTGAGCATGAAGAGTTCTGGATACCAACTGACAGAGCCAAATGGCTGTTATTTTCATTCCATGAGCTTTTTTGGTTCCTTACTAGCGCTCTTGAGTCGTGACACTTGAATTGATGGCCACCAGTCAGCAGAGACGCTGGATTAGCAGATTGAAATTCCTTTATGTGAACACTCAACTAAAGATACTTCCCGAACTGGTCTGAAAGTCACTTGTCAAAAAAGCTTAGTGATATTTCTGTGAAGTGATGAGTGGTCTCCTGAAGAGGTCTCATTGTACTTGTAACTATAGTCTTCCTTCTCGCGTCCAACACCTCTAGGTTCTGTCTTTTCGCCTCAGTCTTTGTTATCACTCACCATGAACAGCCACCTTGATTCTACAACTGGGGAGGGGATATCTTCCTTTTGCCTCCTTTCACTGTATTTCCATACCCTGGTGTTGTCAGAAGAAGGACAAAAATAGACCTTTTTATTTCAGTTTAACTCCCTGAGGCAAGTAGGACCAATAAGATTGAGGATTCTATTAGTGGGTCTTAGGTAAGCTTTTAAAATGCTAGCTGACAATCAAGAAGTTGTATGATTTATATTAATAAGAACCAAAAGAATTGGGTTTGATCCATCATTAAAGCCAAAGGAGATATATTTGCATTGAAAATGATGCAAAACTGCCTAAAATGAAGTGAATTCACTTAACAAGCATCTTGGCATATTTGACTCATGGAACCCATGTTCAACCTGTTAGAGTTTTATGTGAGATTAAGACCAACAGAACTTTGCTAACTGAACCATGCACTAGAATTGCTTTCTGAATGGATCATTAGAATCAAATAGGTGAAAGTCTTTTCACAAACTATGTCAAGGGAACCTGTCTTAGTCCAGAAAGAAGAGGGAAATGCATTAAGTGCACTGTAAAAGAAAACAGGGTAGGCTTTTAAAAACTAAAAAGCTTTAAAAAGCAAATCATATCCCCATTAGTTCAATATCAGTCATGAGTTCGGCTGATATGACATTGTCAATATTCCACTATTATGATCTGTTAACAGAGGCCTTGTGCTGAAATGGGCCTGTTTCTCTTATTTGAAACCCCATGAATTGGAAGCTCAAGTCTAAAGACTAACTCCCTATCTTTGCAATCAAATTAGAGGCAAAAATGTATCCAAGAAAACGTAACATGTGCTACAGAGAAATTCCATCTGGTGACACCCATCCTTAATGGTTTTCCATGCTTTGGAGAGAATCCTAGATTTGTACTTTCTTCTGTCCCATCCTTCAGCTTCTCATGTATTTCAAGGGTGGCCCTAAAGTTTTACCTTTGAGAAGTGCACCCCTGAGTTATAGGGGGTAAAAGCGAACATATGTAGCAACTGTGTTTTTTGTTTCTCTTTTTCAGTCTCTGAACTCTTTGTATAAATAAGGATTATCCTGGGCATAATTCATTTGAATATGAAACCAACATGCTTTCTTTTGTTTCTGTAAAAAACAAACACATAAAAAAAACACAAAAAACCTTAATGTGATACAAAGAAAGTCTCATTTACGCAATCAACAATGAGGCTAAGAGGTAGCTACCATGTGGCTGATGAATGTGCCTAGGTAACTTCCTGTTTCTATTCAAAACTACTGCTTTATTTATACATTATGAAACATTTTTTTCAACTATGAAATTTCAATGATCTCAATTTTTTTAAGCCACTTCAGGCACAAGGAAATTACCTGTCATTTTATGTCCATATGTGTTTTATGTTTGGATTTTTTATATCATGCCATTCTAGGGAATATCTTATGTGAAACCAAAAAGAAAAAAAAGAAGGAAAAATGGCACATGTTCAAATTTGCATCTGTCATCCTACCTATAATTTTTTTTAACAGTTAAATCTGGGGGAATAAAAAAAAAAGCATCAACAGGTAAGGAGCGTTATATTCTATGTAATATAAAAGAAACCAAAATATGTGTTCACATATACAGACATCAGAATCCTAATCAGCAATCTATATTATGGTGATTTTAATCCTATTTAGGACTCTAATTTTTTTAAGTGCTCTGGCTCATCAGATTTCCAAACATTTATTCAGATATTTACATTTTTCCATTCAACTTTAATTGCAAGACTTCTAAACATCAGAAAACAAACCAAAGCCACAGTCCAAATGGGATAAATGTTATCTTACCCAAACTCTAGTTTGGTCAGTGGAATAGTGGGTTTTCTTTTAATAATGATAACATCTTGTCAGGGAAGACAGATTATGCATAGTGACTCAATGCACGGCCATGTCTTCTGAAGACTTCTTAGACCCTATGTAACCTAAAGGTGACGCGAGCAGGTGCTGGTGACTGTGTCCTTGAAGACTGTCGTGTCTTGACTATTGCAAGTGACATAATATTCTCAAACAAGAATTATCTACCTGACTTTGGTCTGGCCAGGGTTAGTTTGTCTCCTTGGTAAATGTCAATCAGTCGGATGCTGTCTCCATGCTTCACTTGAATCAATTCTTCCTGTGACTTTAAGACATTTGCCACATTTGACAGCAGAGAAGCCTCACTTCCACCCATTCTAGTGAAAAACTCCATGGTATTAAAAGCACTCATGTTAGAGATGGAAGGCTGAGAACAGAAGAAGGTTGGATGGAGCAGGAAGTTCACTGTTGGTGCAGAATACATCGACCCCTTGCAAAATTGTATTAAAATCATTTCAATTCACATGTGACCAAAAAATAATAGATTTTTTAAAAAATTATTTGAATACCTGAGATGTCTATATATACCGTATCTTTTACAACAGCCTAAAGTCCCCATTAATGAAGAGTAAGTTTTGATTTAAATAGCACTTTTGCAGTCTTCGTGATTCAGAAGTTTCAATGGACTGTCTACACAGACCACAATACTAGTAGAAAACTAAAAATACATTTGACAATTCAGTCTCATTGTTAATTTGTGTGTACTAACCACTACAGATGTGCTGGTCAGCAGAGAGAAATTCTTAAGTGAGTTTGAGCAATACATGTTTTTAGATGTTATAAAATCAAATAAAGGGTAACAGTGTATAAGCAATATTCAGCACATTTGAGGAGTCCCACTTCATAACAAAGTTTCAACATGTCATACATGGAGCCTTGATCTACATTATCTGGTCCATGGTAGGGAGTGAAGGATGAGATTTTGGCTTTTGTGTTATCATGGCTGGCATCCTTCAGAACTTAGAGCTCACGGAGACTGATGGCAAATCACTCCAATCTGAGGGACTAATGGAATTCAAACATGCCCATTGATTCTGTACACAATACCCTTCCTATGGCTGAATGATAATGGGATTTCATTAATGAATAAGTTTGTTACAAATGACATCCACTGTGGCATTGGAAGACAGTGGAGTCTAACTCAAATTTAACATCTCTTACCCAATATTCTTAAATATGAAATTGTTTCCTTAATCCAAACGCTCTTGGTCCTAGCTGTCCTTTGTGACCTGTATAGAGTTCAGGAAAGTACAAAGCTAAACACAAGACCCTTGAGTGGCCCCAAAGATCTTTTCTGATGTGGGACAGGGGAGCTCACCCCAGATTGGTGATTTCTTTTATCTTTGGTGTTATATCCCAGTACACAGGCTCCCTGTTACATACAAAAAAGGATG